TACATTGATTTTTAGATCATATACCCCCACATCAGGCTTGGAATAATCAAACCTAACTGTCTTGAAAACCTTTGGTTTGTTTTGCTTAGGGCTTTTTTGTTAATTGCTGAGATAATTACTGTAGCTTAGGATCAGGTAGAAATAATTTGAGTTTATTTTACAGCTTTACTACTCAGTGAAGTGTGATGCTATTACTTCTGCATTGTGTTATTCTCACAGTAGATTTCAGGTCTTTTTACTCCTGAGAAGCATGGAGCATCCCAGGTGATGTTAGGACTGCCCATTTGGCTTGCAATTTGGGGCTGGCAAGAGAAGGATTATACCATCTGGTCTTGAGAAGTACTTAGCATCTCCAGCAAGACATTGGATAAACTCCAGTGAAGGTGACTGCTGAACATCGCAACAGAATTGCCCATTGCATGTCATCCAGGGTGCACATAATACAAACATTATCTATGGTCTTATTTAGTCTGTGCAAACTTCTCAGCATTGCCAGAACACACATGCAGCTCCATGTGTGCTGGCTACAGCGAATGCTGGAACAGTCAGGTCAAACCCAGCTTTACCTCCTCAGCTTTCAGAGGTAAGCAGAGATTATACAATGTAATAATAAATTCCCCAGTTGCTGGTCTTATCCCTAGTGCTGTTGAAATATTTCATTGCTACTTGAGCAATTTAGCAAACTCCCAGTTGTAGAAACAGTATTATATGCGATTTTTGCTTGTTTTCCCCTGCAGATGGGTAACTTAGTTCAAGATTATTAAAAACATAAATCTGTCTGGTAAGCATTACTGCTCAGATAGTGCGAAAAGAGTCTTATGTTTATTGCTTTTACCTTTGTCTTTTTTAAACTCATAGTCATTGAACAAAGTGAACTGAATACGATTTTTAAAATTATGTAGAAGAACAATTATCTAAGCCCAAAAATTATCCCTCACAACAAATTCAAAACAAATTCTAGAATATGAGGGGCTGATTTTTTTTTTTTGCTATAGTTCCAGAACATCTGAGGTGGCCTTTAGTGGCACTAGGGTATGTTTTGTGGTATATGGGAAAAGGATCAAGTGGAGAATTATATTAAAAGGTGACCAAATACAAAAATTATTGAACAAACAAATTTTTTCTGTGTAGACGGCTGAATCACTCACTGGCCCTGTCTAACATTTATTAGTATGTCAAAAGAAGTAACATGCAGATGGTTTTAATAGTGTCCAGTTGTAGGCATAATATGACGATTCACTTGCAAGAGTCTGGGTTGCTGTTTTTAGTTTTGCCATATGTTTATATGAATTTTTTCCCCCTTTTTCTGTTTTGCTTTGATACTTCTTTTCATTAGCAGCAATAAATTGTTTAACATTGAAAATTGAATTGGAATAGTGGACTAGTACAGGGCTTGAGAGAAGTGATAGAGTAGCCACTGTAAATTGTGACATGTACCTCTGAAAAACACACAAAAATTATTAATTATAGCAGGATATACTGTTTGATATGTGGCATTCTCTGTTCAGTATGAGTATTGCCTCAGTGCCCTAACATGATGTTACGGGGCACTGTGGTTTTGCAGATGTTGTTTTGCAGCTGAGACGTTCAAATGAGATCTTAACCTCTAGTAAACAGAAATTGTCTCATGCTGTTTTTCACAAGAAAAGAGATCATACCAATTCCAGTTGGGCATAATCCACTTATCCAAATCATCCTGCTAATTGAATTCTACATGTTCTTCATTGCTTTCTGCTATAAAATGGTGTTGCTAAACATCATAATTTGGTGAATAATACAAGCTCTGTGAATGGTTTCTTGTAATTCAAGTAGAGCAGATAGAAAATAATGCCTAGTTGTTACATAGCCACAACCGTTGCTGCAATTAAAATGTTGTTATCCTGCCTACCAAAAGGAACTCTGAACACCAAAGATATTGAGAGAAAGGAGAAAAACAGACTTTTCATTTTATATTACACCTATAAATATATTTTTACACTCTGTAGTTTCTCTTTTTTTTGTCATAGGAAACTTTTAAATGTATCTCTTATCTTCTGAAAAAGTTGTAGGGTACACAAGAAGTTGCAGCTCAGCAGTTCAGAACCTCATTATATCCAGAGAGATGCTGAGCTCAGCAGGGTGAATAGAAGACACTTAGGTAATCAAGCAAAAATATAGTTTAACTATCTCTTAGTTATTTTATCAGTGGGTGGTATTGGCAAGAATCTGGTGCACAGAGAAATTTGCAGTGCTAACTGATTTGAAAAGAGGATTTTCAGAGTGATAATATAGTGGTATAATCAGTGGTAATATGTAGGAGAAGGCTGAACCTCTGGAAGTTTAATGCTTTATAAATTTGCCAATTCAAAAAAAAAACCAAAACAAAACAAAAAACGACCCTTCTACACGCACATACCATTTCTGCAATAGGATAACTGATGGATGACCCTGGAGAAGAATAATTTTGTTTGTAGACTTTAAAGTTGTTGGTTTATTTTTAAGGGGAAAAAGTGAGTTTAAACAAACAATTTTTTATGTCTATTCTAGATTCTTTTAGAATTCTGTGATCCACAGCTATCCAGGTATCACAGCTAAGAGGCTAATGGTCTTTGGTTTTATTGTTTTGTCTATCGAGCATTCAGTGTTTCTGCAAGAGGAATAAAAATTTTAATTCTGGTTCTTAGTGGATACACCTGTGAATTTTAGTTCTGATTCTAAACATTAGGTTGTTTTCTTAATTCTTGCATAACTCTATAGTGAATTTGAGCAAAAAGCCTAATGGGGAATCATCTCTTGTGGTTGCTCAGATTTTTATGTGAGTCATTTCTGTGGTGTTGACTTTTCCTTTGGAGTGAGCAAACCACGAGCTTAGTATTTGTTATGCGGATGATCTGTAGAAGAAAGAGAACAATGGGTACCAGCAGGTGAATAGTGCACAGGGCTGTTATGTACCACATACTTGCCCAGTGTACTCTGTTCCTTGAGGATTGTGAACGTATTTTGATTCCCACTGTATGGAACTGGATGGCTTTTAACATACAGCTGGATCCCTTGGCTGGTGCAGGGAAATGCATGTTTCTCAGTAGCACAAAGCAGCCTTCTGCCAGAGAATGATCGTAGAGGATGATGGTGTTGGTAGAATCACTGCCTCAGGGCCTACATTTTACCTGGGGAACATAAAAACTGGAAGCATCTGCAAGTGCGATATTATATATTAACGTATTCTCTCACTTGCTTTCCTCTCTCCTGCTGTTTTCTTGATGTTCTGTATTGAGTGTTGACAGTGGGATGCTTGCAGTTGTTTTCCACTGCTACTGCTTGCCCACTAATGAACCTTCTACTGTAAGCAATTATGAGATTTTTGCTGGATATGCTACTAGGCTTTGATCCCAGCGCATCCTGCTCTAAAAGCAGGAGTTTCTCTTCTACTCACTTTGGCCACATAGCAGATAAGAAGACACCTAAGAAGCTTGCTTATATGGTGGTGCATATATGTGTTTGTGTGGTGTTGTTCTTAAACTAATATGTTTTATTTCTCACTAGGACTTGGTAGTCCAAGCAGTTTTAAACTGTATTTATTTGAATATGTTCTGAAAACAGAACAAACCTAGCAATCAAATCTATATATGAGTTTGTCTGTACCGGGTTTGTCTACAGCATACACCTGGCAGAGGTGTAACCATGATTCACTGCAAGCTTGAAGCCTGTGGGTGGGACACAGAGAAAAGTGTGCTTGTAGATATACATTCAAGTCAGCTGATGGTATCTTAGTGAGACCTTTTCACGTAGCTTGCCTACCACACAGGCTAAGGCCACATGTTTGGGTAGACACATCTTTAAGTGCAACTAATATTTCACTTGTATAACATTGTGTCTCCCCTCTGTATTTGGTATATTAAGGACTATAAAAAATATTTATAGTTGCATTTTATTTGCTATGTTTTAAAAGAGTGACTGAATTATATACCTCTTTAGTGAAATATTCAGTGCATCTCATTTTGTTGTTGCAGCAATCACTAAAAAGAAGAGGGAGCAAAGACCTACCAAAATCAGAAAAAAAGTCACAGCAGACACCAACAGAGGTAAGTTGTAGTAACAGTAGCCTGGTTTCTCATGTAGAGGCTTCAAGGACACTATGGAATTATATACATGGCTTGTAGCTCTACACTTTGCTTGCTTGTATGCTTTGTTCTTTGTTTTCCTGTATGGGGAGAAATGGAGAAGTCTTACCCAAGATCTACAGTCAGACAACACTATGTCAGGGACCACCTAAACAAAATGCTGGTGCTGCAACAGAACCTGCCAGCTTTCATGTACTCTGTATTTTAGGTAAAATATGTAAATATGAAAAAAGATAATAGGCCCTTTGTGTGCTGACTTCAGGATATTTGAACACTCTAAAGTCTATTACAGTGTTGCAAGCCTAGAAAATATAAGGATCTTTTACAAACCCCCTAACACTACCATGTATTTTCTAGGCTCTGCAAATGTTAGTCATAAGTAAAATAGTCTTTTCCTCCTCTTAAATTTAAGTATTTATTTCCCTCTCTTTAGTTTATTGATCAGTGAAAAAATGATTGCAGGAAAGTCTCTTAGTATCTAAAGCTATGTACCTGTGATGGTTAGTCTTGTAATTGAAGACCATCCAGCTGGAGGTCTCTTGTTTTATGTCAAGTTTCTTCAAGTACTTCTTTTTCTTTACTCTAAGGAGGACAATGAAGACCTGAAATGCCAGCTACAGTTTGTCAAAGAAGAAGCAGCCTTGATGAGGAAGAAAATGGCTAAGATTGATAAAGAGAAAGACAGATTTGAACATGAGCTGCAAAAATATAGATCCTTTTATGGGGATTTGGACAGTCCCTTGCCAAAAGGTGAAGCAGGTGGGCCACCTACCACAAGAGAAGCTGAGCTCAAGCTTCGATTGAGACTTGTGGAGGAGGAAGCTAACATTCTTGGGAGGAAAATAGTGGAACTAGAAGTAGAAAACAGAGGACTGAAAGCAGAGCTTGATGATTTAAGAGGAGATGATTTCTCAGGGACTGCTAACCCACTCCTGGGAGAGCAGAGTGAATCCCTGTCAGAATTAAGACAGCATTTGCAACTAGTAGAAGATGAAACAGAATTGTTGAGGAGAAATTTAGCTGATTTGGAAGAACAAAACAAACGCATAACAGCTGAGCTGAACAAATACAAGTACAAGTCGGGTGCCCATGAGAGCTCTAGGCACCATGATAACGCCAAGACAGAAGCATTACAGGAGGAACTAAAAGCTGCACGAATGCAGATCAATGAGCTGAGTGGCAAAGTCATGCAACTCCAGTATGAGAACAGAGTCTTAATGTCCAACATGCAGCGCTATGACTTGGCCTCTCACCTTGGGATCCGTGGCAGCCCCAGAGACAGTGATGCGGAAAGTGATGCAGGAAAAAAAGAGAGCGACGATGATTCCCGCCCCCCTCACCGCAAAAGGGAAGGCCCCATCGGTGGGGAGAGCGACTCCGAAGAGGTACGCAACATTCGGTGTCTGACACCTACGAGGTCTTTTTATCCGACACCATCTGGGTGGCAGAAAAGCTTCACTGACAGGCAGCAGATGAAGGATATTCGCTCTGAAGCGGAGCGACTGGGCAAGACAATAGATCGTTTAATTTCTGACACAAGCACCATCATTACAGAGGCAAGAATTTATGTAGCTAATGGAGACCTCTTTGGACTGATGGATGAGGAAGACGATGGCAGCAGAATACGTGAGCATGAGCTTCTTTACCGGATCAATGCACAGATGAAGGCCTTCAGGAAAGAGCTCCAGGCTTTCATCGACAGACTTGAAGTTCCAAAGTCTTCGGATGATCGAAGTGCAGATGAACCTTTGTCAGTGAGTCAGGTAGACTTTTACTTATTACGGCCTACAGGTAAAAAGGCTCTGCCAAGTCAATTAAGCCTCATATTATGGCACATGAAAATTCTTTGTTCTAGACAGTGGACTAAAATCACTATTTCTTAAATTATATTAAATTCTCATTTGGCCATGTGAAACCTTGTTCTACCAATGGAGCTGTTTGCAAACAGTGAATAAGTCTGTTTTCCTGAAAATTAATTATGCTCTGGGAGGTGGAAGACTTTACTCCTTTCTTTCTGGCTTTGTAACTACACTTGCCAGAGTTGTGCCTTCATTGCCAGTAAAGGCAGTGCAGACAGCATTTTTGGCACATAAACGAACATGATTATTTTCTTAATGGTTGGGTTCCTGTTGAAGGAATAAAAGCTTACTGATTTTAAACAGGAGGAAACATTAAATTTCCAGAAGTATAGAGAATATTACAAACCACAGAGAAAAATAAACCATACAAATCTACTTTACAGAGTTACAGAGCCACACGGTAGTGTGAATATTGGAAATTCTGTAAATGTTTGTATTTTGTTGAAGGCCTATGGGTCACTGCATACATGCAGCAGTGACAAGCATCTTTTCTGTAGTTCATTTTTATGGAGAATTGCTACAGAGAGGTTTCTGGGGACAAATTCCATGCTGACTTGAGATCTTTTGCCATGAAAAATGGAAATTACCTACCCTTACCTTATCATGCAATCCTATAGCTGGGAAATCTTGTTATTACTCTTGGTAATATCTAATGTTGTATTAAGTCTCTTGCTTTGTTAATTTACTTTGTGCTGTAGTGCTAGATTACAGTCAAAGTAGTTGCCAAGTGAAGTTGAAAACTATTATTTCTTATTCCTATGCTGACTAATTAGTCTTTTGTTTCCTTGTATCAGAAAATCACAGACGCAGTGAGTTTAAAGCAAATCAATTACTATACATGTATTGCATGAAATCAAACAGAAACAGCGTTTAGCATGTTCACTTTCTGATCTACCTATAGCTCTGAGCTTGTAGAGCTCCCATTAGCTTAAAGGCAGAGCACTGCATGGCTTATACAAATTTAAAGCAAAGTAGTATTTTCTCTAAACAAATAACAATAATAGTTAAATTGGACATTTCAAGGCCTGACCATGCAGAACTCCTACTGAAGTCAATGGGAGATGGGCACTTGGTCCCTCCACAAGCATAGTCTGATTCACTGTTTATTTTGTTGAAACTTTGGACTTGCTATTCCATTAATTGACTGTTCTCTTTGTCTTTATATTTACTTTCCCAGATGTTCCAGCCTATCATTTTACTTATTCTCATCCTTGTATTATTTTCATCCCTTTCATACACAACAATATTTAAACTTGTCTTCCTTTTTACACTGTTTTTTGTACTGTAAGCCATTCATCATTTACTGTTCATTGTAGTATTATTTTCAGTTTGTTTATTTTGTCCACCCTCCAAGATAAGAAGTGCAAGAGACATAGTTTCTGTAATAGCCACTGTTATAAAAACACTGAAGACTACTTGTTTGCCAAAACCTAACCAAAACCAAAAAACCTGCAAAAAAACATACCAAAAAGTCACCCAGTTGAATAGGAAACCTGCTCATCATGGTGTTCCAGGTAAGCAATCAGAAAATTGTATTTTTCACTTTTTCTGGTTTTATAATTTTTTAATAAAAATTTCCTGAGCAACTGGAACCAATTTAAAATTAATTCATTTCCACCAAATCGAAGCAAAACAGAAATATGCAGAGTGGGTGTTAGGAGTCTGTTCCTTTTCTTTCCCCACTCCCAGAAAAAGAATTTATATCTAGCCACGTATGAATAATAAAACCACATTTGATGTGTATTCTGCAATTATATGTCACAAATTATATATATTTTGCATGATTATGATGATAATGTTTTTTAGCACTGTGTTATGTGGATTAGACAGCACAGGAGACAAAATCGGAACCATTAGTATATAGACCACTATATCTGGAAATGTGTCAAGGAGCTAGAGTGTTCTCTCTGTGCTCTTGAAAAATGTCCACACTACAGTGTGACTTGAGCTGAAGAGAGTGATGCTGGTCACCTTGTCTGATGTAAAATACCTTTTCCTAACAACCTAGTTTATCATATAACGTTTTCCAGTCTGTAGCTGTTGGGGCTCTGGATTCTCTCTCCAGTTTCAGAATGGGTTTTGAATGAACGTGGTAATTCTTGGCTTGGTGAGTGACCTCTGTCTAACCATGCTGTTGGTAGTGAGAGATCACAGGTGAGGGATGCTGGTGTACATAGACATGCATCAATAGTCACTGAATATTCTTGTTTTCCCTATGAGAGGCTGCACTGAGAGCACAGGTGACTCATGATCTTTCTGTCACACTAAACATAGGCAGTTCCTTCAAATGGTAGATCTCTCGCTATGAAAACCTCATCTGAAATGGCCAGTGGAGCACAGTTTTCTTTTCTGTTTTATTCAACCTATATTGAGACCACTGAGTCCCACAAATGTGAATTCTCCAAAGATGATAATTTACAAGTGAGTGTATTAGTGATTTTTTTTTTTTTTGTGCAGGTGCCATGATAAAAAACCAAAATCAGTTCATCTCTTTGCCTGGGTTTTGCTCTGCTACCTGAAATTATAGAGAGACACCATTTTGAGGGAAATCCCTCAGAGGGAAGCAGAGGCTGGGCAATAAAATTTATTTTATGAGAAGAAAAAAATAGTAATCTCACAATATTCAGCAACAATTTGTTTGTGCAAAGCAAAGTTTGTGTTTTCCTCCTTGTTTGTCTAGCATTCCCTCAGCATACTCTGCAGGTGTAGTAACCTTGATAAGTTAAATCACTTAACCTTGATTTAATCCAAATACTTATTCCTACCAGGGGGTGGTGGTGTCATCATTTCGTAGTTAGGAAGATATATCTAAAAGAAATTATAATCAATATATGTGAGATTAATTGTTAGCCTTGTCTGGTCTCCTGATTAAAGAGAAAGTCAGACCCAAAGTACTTTTGAGGTTTCTAAGCTGCTCTTATTGGTGTTCAATTGCCTAAAAGTTCAGTTTCACATATTAGAAACTACTATGTCAAGATGTAGTCAAGTATATCATCCCATTCACAGTGAATTTCTGTAATTATAGAAAGAGTTCTCAAATCACTGGGAAAAGGCCCTTTTGCTGCTTTTCTGACCAACTGCTGTAAGAATTTTTTCAGCAACTGCTTGAGAAATTATTTTGGTTTTCCTCATAGATTTTCAATTTGGACCTTAAAAGTATAATATTTTGAGGCTTAAATTTGTCATATCAAATCTGAGCATGAGACTGACATTTTGAGTTTCTTTCTGTTTTAGTTTCTTCCCTTAGGGGGAAGAAAAGATCATTTGGGTTTTGTTAAATGTTACTGGCTCAATCCCATAAAAGAGAAAAAAATCATACTTAAATATGATCTGAAGTTCTGAGCTTTCAGATTTTAACCCACACTTGTTTATACCTTTCTCAGCCTTGTATGTAATAAAGATGAGTAGGGAAGCTTTGATTTACACTGAGTGTATCAATAACACTACTACTGTACAGTAGTAGGAAAGTTTAATACACTGAATTCATACATTGAATATATCTTGGAAATAATTGGGAAAGATTTGCTTCTTTCTCTGAAATCAGAAAAGATGATGATGAACCTCTTGAGAAAAGGTGGAGATAACCTCTGCACAGCACTGGCAATTATAACCCCATTGATTTCTCACAGTGGTTTTGCTTGCATATGGCTGGAGCTCTCCTCATCCTAATTCCGCCAGGCATCAACAAAGCAAACCAAAGTTGAGACCTTTTGGAACACTTAGGAAGCTATATAGCACAGGCAACAATCTGAAATTAAGCATACTGAAGTACACAAAATAATTTTAGAAGCTCCCCACAGGTTCTGAGTCTGTGATGAGCAAGAAGAATGGTGAAGACGCCTGTGAACCTCAGCACAAATAAATCTCAGTGAGAAATGAGATGTATTTTTCATGTCCCTCTGCATTCAGCTTGAAAGGAGTAATTGGAGCTGTTTATCTGCTTCACACCAGATATTGCAGAGAAGTTCACAGCCCTTCATTTTTCACTATTTTAAAAGCTGCTTAGAAAGCTAATAAAATCAGTATGGACATCTATCCATAGCCAGAAGGTTACAACTAGCCAAAGAAATCCGTGTTCTGTGTCTTGCTAAATTGAAATAATTTGGTCTCCCAAAGAAATGCAAGAATTATACTTGCCAAGAAAGGAAGAAGATTCTCCCCACTCAGTTACTGGCCTGGTAGGCAAAGACAACCTCATAGGTGAGTGAGTAAGTGGAGCTGAACTCATCCACATCCTGTAGTGGAGTGTGTTGGAGTCAGGCAGGGCAGAGCTAGATAGAACACTGCTGATTCACTAGACTGACTGCCACATAGAATCTAATTCTGAAGAGTGATAATAAGAATATAAGATTTTGGTTTTGTGCAGCAACAAGCTCGATATGCTATGTTACCTATCAGTTCAAATCTCACGTAAACCAGTATCGGATTCACAGTTCCCATTTTGGAATATTCTGGCAAAATATTAATATGATGCAAAAAATGTCATTGAATTTAAACCAAGATATTGCTTTAATTTTACATTTCTCTAGAAGACTGAATTTCTGTTTCTTGTGTTCCTAGGGAATTCATTCCATGTTCTTTCAGAAGGAAGAGATCTTGCATCTATAGATAGAATTCTGACATTTTTAACTTGTGTAAATCTGCAGTAACTCAAATCAATTTTTATATTATTTTAAAAATAGATGTTATTTTTTTTAATGCAACCAGATAAATTCAATGAAATTTGTTTTCTAATTAGAATCAGCATTGAATGCCCTGGCAAAATACCTCTACAAATGTTTTCTTTACTGTTACTGAAAAATTCCCATGATACTAGAACAATCATCTTCTCCAGAATCACAGATACTTATTTCAACCAAAAATATCCATGCCTGAAGCTCCAGTTAGAGATAGAATAAGTGTCTGCTGACACACGTCACCAATGCTTCAGAATCAAAACTAGAAGAGAGCAGGTGCTATACTGCAGAAATATGCCTGGCAGTCAGAAAATAAAAAATTGCCAAAAACATGGCTGTCTAAATATGTGTTATAAAAAGAGATGAACTGCACATGAACTTCGAGGGTTGTTTACGAAAACAAGCAGAGCTTTAGGATATTAGATGCCCTTCCCCTTAATCACCCCGGAATTTGATAGGTGAGTAGGACACTTCTAAAGGCATCAGTATCAGGGACAAAAATCTCATTGGCTTACATTTCTGTCTCTGATTTAATGCCAAGGGAAGTGATATTCAAACCCAACTTTTGCCATTACACATGCATTTGCCTATGGGGAAAATTACAGTGGCTCTATTTAAAGTAAACCTCTAAAGTATCTGCCACCGATTTCCAATGTAACCTTGGAGAATTGACATGACATAACACTTTGGCTCTGTTTCTCCACTAAGTTATATACTATGACAGAAGTGCACTGTAGTAAAAGGAGACAAATTGTATTCCCTTGTGCCCATTTCCCTATTTGTATATCCATTTCCCTATTTATATATCCACTCCTGAGATGTATTTGCCAGGCTTATCGAGGTGTAAAAATTAACATCATTCAGAAATACTGATGTTGTGGTTGAGTTGATTACGGTGGCAGCAGGCTATTCTTCCTTCCTGTTGCCAAATTTACGTGGACATAGCAAAATGGGTGTGCCATAGCCAAGCTAGTACAGCAGAACTGAAGTTACTCTAAAATGACCCTGAGTGTAGACTACTAATCAGAATATACACTGCCCTGAGTATATAATCAGATTATAGCCCATGCTGAAACTCATGCTCCTTTGTCTTCAGTCTTGCATGATGAAGAGAGATTTAGCAGAGGGCTTGTTTAAAATGCCCTTGTAACTTTTTTGTTGAGGTGCTGACTTTTAACACAAGCAGAGCTGATACCAGGTATGCACAAAATCCACTTTGCCTGTGGAAGCAGCATGTCAGATGTCATAAATGTACAATAGCCTTCTTGATTATTTTGCCTGCACCAAAGGCCAGAAAACCATATTTGCTGCTTTGTCCACTGCTGTTGGGGAGGAATGGTCTCTGTTGGATAACTTTTCTTTGAAAGCAGAAGTCACTACTGCTGCTCTTAAGGATGCCTAGAGCAAGGAGCCCACGGTTCTAGAGCTTGCTTCATCTTTTCTTTGTCTCAGATTGTCTCCTAACTCATATTAGGATGACTTTAATGTGGCCCTTTGACCTATGAAGGAGATCCAGCTCTTCTCTCACAGGATCACAGGATGGTAGGGATTGGAAGGGACCACTGAAAATCATCTAGGCTTCTAAGAGTCCCTCAATCTCACACATTTCTCATTCCTCACGCTGACAAATAGAGGATTTTGCCTGAGTAAAAACACAAGCCTGGGATTTAGCCCATTGTTTTAATTAATTTTCCTGTGTTTTGCTTCAAAGAGTTTGAGTAAAAGGTGAGGGGCGTTAAGTTAGTAATATTAAAGACACAAGAA